CGATATGGCTGAAATGGGTGTTTTGAGAAAAGAGATGGGAGAAAAAGAATGGAGGTTGTTTCAATATTTTGGGCAGGAGTTATAGGTGACCTCAACTCAGAGGTGCTGGAAATAACAGAAGCAGAAAGATCCAAGAGCTATTTTGGAGATAAAATCTACAGGATTTAATGATAGCTGCATATGGGAAGAAGGAAAAGAACACTCTAGAATGATACTCAAGTATCCAGCTTAGGCATCAAGATAATACCATTTTTCTGACATGTCCCCAATACCAAAAGCAGACTGGCATATGTTTGACACATAATAAACATCTGCTGAATTAACTAATGAATTATTAAGGCTCATCAGACATTTAACAAAAGCCTGAAGTATGAAAGTGAAAAGACCAAGTTAAATGAAAAAACTGACTCCAGAAAAAAAATTTAAAAACCTCAAACTATTAACAAACCTTCAGAAAAATTCAAGAACAGAACGCATCAAGAACATTCAAGACTCTGAAACTTACAAATATTACTGCTAGGGGGAATAAAAACCAATATAAAAGTTGGAAGATAAAGAAAATCGCCAAGAACATGGAAAAAAAGACAAAATACTACAAAATAAAGGTTAAAAACAATACAAAAGGAAAAAGGCAGTTTTAAGCCAGCAAGGCCAACCTCTGACTAACAGAAATTCCAAGGAGAAAAAAAGGAAAATAAAAGGAGAAATTTCAAATAACTATTACATGAAGTTTTATCAGAGTTTAAAAGATAATCTGAAAGCCTTCAAACCAAGAATCCATGTCAATTAAAAATATACCTGGGGGGAGTCATAAAGTTTAACAGAAAGAAAAATGAAAGTTGTATGTAGAGAGACAAAATGAAGACACTTACGTACTGACTTTAAGTAACAGGCACAAATATTTTCTTTCCAGAGCAGTAATGAAAGAAAAAAAACTGAATACTATAGCCCTAATACTATAACCTTCTAAATTAAGTTTAGTGATGGTTTTATATAAGTATTTTCCCAAAAAAAATACTGTGCATAAGAAGTTCCCAATAAATAATGACTAATTTAACTCTAAATCTGTTAAAGCAGAGATTTTCATTTCCATAAAATATATATAACTTTAAACATAAAAACAGCATTTGTAGCACAGTGCTTACCAACAGCAACATTTAACAGTTTCTTTTGAAAAATGTACTCATACAAGAATTTTTCCAAAAAGGAGAGATTAAAAATATGCCTACAAAAAAATTTTAGCTATTTGACCTACCTTACTCAGAGGGGCTTTGATTTTTTTCAAACACAAAGCAAGAAGCTCCCTGGACTCTAATGCACACTGTATCCACATTCCTGGTGGCTGGAAATATCTGAGAGAGAAGATAATATTCTGAAGCCCAGCAGCTCTCAAGGAAAAACAAAAATTTCCATCTGAAGATATAACACTGATTATTAACCAGATATAATAATAACCTACAGTTGACCCAAAGCACTTAACCCAAATATATTTTAATAATTCTCAGTAGCTTTAATTAAAAAGCTTTAGTTAAAATTCTGAGTATCTGAGAAAGCCAGTCTGAAATAACCCATTAAAGAGGTCTTATTACTTCAAACACCAGTAAGAATTACAGTGAGGAAGACGAAATGACAGAAAGTTCTTTAAAGCTAGGATTTGAAAAACAGGTAAAAATCATCTCAAAAGGACATTAAAATGGTTTACAACGTACATCTATGTTTGAGAACTATTTCTCACACAGAAAAAAGATAAATTAGTACTTCGTACTATGTATCAACAATAGTTCTGACTATTCATCTATTTCAAGTCCCTTACCAAATTTTAATTGTAAACATGTTTTAAAATCTTACATAAAACCTGACTAAATTAAAATTTAAATCGCTTATGCATGTGCTTTAAGTTTTTTAGCTCAGCCCGCCCAGGACTTAGAACATTGTCTAGCACATAGTAAAGGCTAAATAAATGCTCGTTAAATACGTAATACTTTCAAATGTGTTAGGTAAATGTGCTTTTTTTTTTTTGCCATACTTTCTAAGTGAATGTTCATTTTCATTTTTAAAATTCATTCAAAAACCTTATACAGGCCCCTTTGTTATAAGCATGCTTTTGGAGTTAGAAAGGACTTCATGTATCATCTAATAAAGCCCTTTCATTCCAATGACAAAATTAAGGTTTAGAGAGGTTAATTGGTCAAGAATTTCAAAAAGCTAGTTTGTGAGAAATCCAAGATAAATGAGATCTATTTGTCCAGTGCTTTTTTCACTCTTCTATGCTTTTAAGAATAGCAAATCTTTATAATAGCTTAAATCTCACAAATTGTAAACTGTAAACTCCCTGAAAAAGTACATAATAGTTTCATGTGCTACGTATATATGTATATATTTATGTTTATACACACACACATATATACATGTTTTAAGTATTTTTCTGGAGATATATTTTTCGAATTCTCAAAAGGATTCATAACATCCCCCTGCCAAAAATTAAAAAGTTAAGAATCGCTATAGTCCTAACCCATTTGGGAAATCACAGGCATATAATTTTATATAGGCAGTTTCATTGGGCAGTTTTGGGTTACTCATGGCCTAGTAGATATAAGCTGTTTATGCCAACAAGTTAATCAAGAAGGAATAAAATATTAACTTTTTTACTGAGCTTTTTTTCTATCAACTATAGCCATTTCAGTTACATGGGAACATTAATATATGTAATTTTTGAAACATTGCTAAATTGCTTAAAACATAAGGTGCTTTTTATCATACATTGTTTCTAGTGACTAAACAAAAAAAAATCCTCATGGTATTAACAGTAGTATGTCCTTAATAAACTGCTCTCATCCTTACAACATCAATTCACTATTAACTGTATACATCGCACCCATTAATCTCTTAACAGAAAAAGAATAGATTCAAATACCTTTACACTATCTTCACCAGATTAGCAGGGCAAACTAGGAAAGTACAAAATTGCAAATTCTAAAATCATTGGCAACACCAACATAAAAATTAAATCTCAATTACATGCACTTTATTTATGTATCTTAGCAATCTCAGCATATCCTGGTGGCTCTCCTATATATCGATCTCAACTTTAAGTAGGATAAATAGTACCACACCATACCTTTGACATTGTTTGCAGAAAGATATGGAGACCTGTTTTGGAATGCCTTGGCTGATGTCTACTTTACTTCGCAAACAGGCCACACAAATATTGGCAGGATTTGGACTAATTGGAACACCACACTCGCAGCACAAGCTTAAATAAATAAAGCAATAGTTTTTCAATTAGATTTCATAAATTCACCAGTTAAATTTAAACACCGTCAAACAAGCAAAAACTTTCAAGTTAGGCCATAATCTGCCCTCTTTCAAAGACTGACTGAGAGCAATCTTCAAAGATGCAGTAGTGAAGAACAACTTTTGAATACTAAGGTAAAAAAAACAAGGATGGCCACAATTCCAAAAATCCTCAAAATATGGCCAATTTTCGAAGGGTCTACAGAATCTAAATTATTTCTAATAATCATTAGATAGCTTTACAGCCCAAAGGCAATTTTTTTTTAAAGCCTCAATATAGGACAAGGACTAACAAAATGTAAACATTTACCCAGAGCAGAAAAATTTTAAAGGATAGAAAGAGTATCATATAGTTAGTTATTCAGTACACTGATGGGAGTATCAAGCTTCTAGGTATATCGGGAGCAGAAAATGTTTAAAAATCACTGATGCTGTCCAAAAGAAATGTTCTATAATCTGTGATGTCCAATACAGTAGACACTAGGCACATGTGGTTACTGAGGACTTGAAATGAGACTAGAACGACTGACATACTGAATACTTAGTTTTATTTCATTTTAGTTACTTTTTAAATAGCTACTTGTGGCTAATGTATATCGTACTGAACAGTGCAAACCTAGAATGTATGATAAATATATTAACACTCAAAGCGAATATTTACTACTCCAACAAACTTCCCAAGTGAAAATGAATTCGATTTTCTCAGGAAATAGACTTTCGTATCCTTTCACTTAAGACAAAAAAATCACACACACACCCCGCTTCAAAAAAAAGCTTTCCCAAATTTAGACGGTAAGTTTCAAAGACTCACTTTAACATCTTAAAATGTAAAGGTAATTGGGGAAAAGAGACGTGCGACTCACATGTGTCCAGGGGTGCGGTCAGCGGATTCTGTCACGTACTCCATTGTTCTGTATGCCCTGGTTTTAAAATGAGAGAATCGTGGGATTTAAGTCATTTGACTATTCACCTATTTGTACAAAACATCTTTCTGCCTCTCTGAATAAGGAAGCCAAGCCTCGTAAAGCAGCAAATAAGAAAAACCAATTCCATTTGGTAACTCTGGAAGAAGTAACTTCTTTAATCATGAAAACCAAGCAAATTTCGTAGTTTCCCATCTGCAAGACCTTCGGGCCACTAAACTCGGCAGCTGACCTCAGGCGTCCCCAGGACACCAACCCCGGAGGGCCCAGGGCAGGATTAGTGGGGGCCTCGGCCGCTCCGAACACCCCAACCCTAACCCCTGCAGCGGCCATGCCTGGGGTCAGCGCTGCAGGAGTCCCCGGACTGTGTCACTGCGCCCGCGGGCCACCCACCCAGACCCGGCAGCGGCGCACACGCGGCGCGCACGCGGGCAGAGGCCGGCCCAAGCCCAGGAATCCGCCGGCCCAAGCCCAGGGAATCCGCCCCCCTCTCCCCTCAGGAATCCCTTGAGACAGTAGCCCGGTTCTCGGCCCCCAGAACCTACTTAGTGCCCCTGGGCAAGACCCAGATTTGCTGAAACACCGCAACAGAACAGACCCCGTGGCCGCCTCCGCCACTACTACAGCCGGTTCCGGTACAGTGAAGATATCGCGAGAGAAGAACTCCAAATCCCGCGGGCCGAGAGACGCGAGTAAAGGGGCGGGAGGGGACGGCGAAAGGGGCAGGCACAGGCGAGCGGAGGGGCGGGAAGGCCTGACAGCTGGGAAGGAGCCTGAAAAAAAGGCCCCGAGCTCCCTCGTCCTATTGGTGCCTGAGACTTACACTTACTTTTCATCTCCTCTCTTGGATTATCTTCTTTTCCGATTTTCCCGGGACAGAGTTCACTCCAAACCATCCATGCCCGCTTTTCAGATATCCTGATAGGGAGCTTGTTTCTTGGTTAAATGATTATGTAAGTTATCTGTAAACAGTACCACATTACACAAAGAAATGAAATTCCATGGAGGATAGTGCCTTTGTTTTGTTCACATCGTGTACCTAATGCCTGCCACATCCTAAATGCTCAAAATGAATATTTAATAGGTGAAAGAAAAAAATGTAAGGCATAATCATTTGAGAAGTCTGTTATTTTTAGACTATTCTAATTATTAGAATGTGCTTTTTGTTACCGCACTTAATATTTCCTAATAACTTCATACCTTGAGCTTAGAGCAGCACAGACCATGTCTAATTACTCTTTCTCATAACAGAATTTCAAATATTTGAAGAACATAACTATATTTTTTCTAAGTCTTCTCACCCCAAATTTCAAGGAATAAGCAAAGTCATCTTATAGAACTTGATCAAAAAAGCCTCATCATTTCTTGCCTAGGATACTCCCATTCATTCATTTTCCTTATTTCCAGACTCTAATCCGTTCTTCTTAAATGCAAATCTGATTTTGTCACACTCCCCTGCTTTTAATTCTTCAGGGATCTCTGATCACCTGGATTATTTCAATTTCTCTGCATAGAAAGAATATCCTTCAGGATCTGACCCTGAGAAACCCAGTCACATTCCTAAACACACAGCCATACAGCCCAACTAGCAGGTCAGCACAGGAACTAGTAGTCTACATTTGTTTAAGCCTGGGACACTCGATCTTAAAGATTAAGCTCAAGTGTCTTATATCAGTTTCCTATTGCTGCCATAACAAATTTTCACAAATTTTGTGGTCTAAAACAACAAAGATTTATTATCTTACAGTTCCTGAGGTTGTAAATCTAAAAATAAGTGCTCTTTTTTTATGTATGGTCCTATAACATCTTTATAGGAGGTATGTACCTCTATAATAGTGTTAACAACATTAAATTGGATCACAAATTTTCTACTCTGCATGTTCCACAGATTCAAACTCCTGGAGAGCAATCTGGACCTTGTTTTCAATATTCACTGCACCAAGCACAGAGCCTGGCACAAAACAGATACTCAGTATATCTTAGTAAATTAATTATCCATTTGATACAACTCCCAAGAGACAATTTATATCTCCCCATTTTTTTTTTTTCATTCACATTGTCATTTCCCTTAAGTCAAATACCACTAGGAAGACAACTATAGTCGAACAGACTGTGTTATTCATTGAAATGAGTGAAAACACACCATGAGGAATCATGGAGTATCAAGGAGTTAGGAAAAAAACTTATCATAGATTTGGCAGATTGATTCAGGGGAGGGGCTAAGAAATCAGAGATTTGCTGTAGATTGGATGCTGTCAGAAAGCAGGGGCAGTTTTCTGATTGGATATCTCAGTAAATCTTATGTAAAGCAAGAGAAGCAGAAGAACAAAGCTGCAATTAGTAAAGAGAGGGAGTGTTTGGTATTTTGTTGGTGACACAAGCAACCTTGTATTTAACTATGCTTAGGCAAAATTATACAGTGGCCTTCCTTTGTCTCATTTTATCATGTTCTCAGAGTAATTTAGTCTGAGGTTGGTATTCTGTGAAATCATTTATGTCTAACAAGAGAATAACATGGTCTACCCATGAGTACAGGCCGGTTTGTGAATGTCAGGGTTTGCTCTTTTTTTTTTTTTTCCTCAATACACTCCTTCAAAATCCTATATGACTTAACACTAAGTGCACTGGATCTACAACAGTGAATAACACAGACATGATCTCTGCCCTTATGGAATTTACATTTTACAGATGAGGCTGATATACCAAATGATTAGGTAACTTGCTAAAAAGTTCTGTAGCAAGAAAATGGCAGAACCAGGACCTGAACTAAGTTTGTCTAACTCTGTACCCATGCCCTCACCACCAACATTAAGCTGCCTGCCCTTCAGAGGCTCAGACTGTCTATTCTTATCTTATATTTTTTAAAGAAACTTTTCCATCAACCTTATTTTCATTTTCTGTTTAAGAGTCTATGGAAGAACAGCTTAAAATCGCTCAATGGTTGTTTCTACCCATTCGGTGGCCTGATCGGTGGGAGCTGCAGACAGCTCTCCAGTGGTGGGTTGAGCACTCCAGTCTTTAGTGAACAACCGCTGAATAGGCACAGAGGGCACCTTCATGCTTTCAGACCAGTTCGAGACCTTAGGTTGAGTAGCAGTAAATTCGGGACCTAGTACACTCCATTCACCTTGAAATTCCTCCATGGTCATAGCCTTTTCGGCAGCAATCTGCTCTTTCTTTTCAGTCTCTTAGAATCTCTGTAGAAATAGAAATCAGGGGTGACCTCCCATGGGTGTTCACAGGAGATGGTGCTGCCCATATGTGGCACTTTCCAGGCCAGCATCCACCACATCAGACCCACTGAGTGAGCTCCCTTCTTGTTGGGTGGATAGCAATGTCCACACAGTGCAGAGGAGAGTCTGTTACACAGAGCAGTGATCAGCAGTATAACATAAGACACCTCTGTGAGATGCTGATGTTTAGCCCTGGGATCAGTAACCACCAAAAGACATGGCTCCCTACAGGCTGACCGGATATGGTTAGCGAAGGTTTCAGGAGTGAAGCAGCTAGCAATAGGAGTGGCCCAGGCACCAGTAGCAAACTTCAGCACAACTCACTGGCCAGTGTTTCTGAATGCTCTGACGCTGACGTCAAGTTGCATTTTCAATGGCAACCAGTGGCACAAACTGCCAATTGAAGTTTCTCCTAGGTTCTTTTCAGATTTATGAGGTAATGCCATTACTTTTCCTTCTGTAAATGTATTGTTCTGTTTGGAAGTCAAGGTTGGTGCCACCTAAGTGGGTTCCGCTGCAAGGAATTTGAGGACATCCTCCTCCATTTGCAGGATATCAAGAATTCTGGACACTGTGCAAGTTTCCTTTTAAGTTACAAAGGGGAAGCCAAAACAATGCCGTAAAGACATCTCTCTGGTTAGCATGGAAAGGCCACAGGCTTTTGATAAAACACCTATGTGGCGGAAAGCAATTATACTATCCTCTCACTTCCCTCCCACCAATGCTAAGATCTTCTGATGGCAGAGTTAAGTCCTTGGTGTCAAATATCTCTGCCACAAGCCTATGATGAGCTTGTCAGGGTTGTTCTCAGAGTGGGCTAATGTTGGCAAATTACACCACAGAGAAACTCATTTTGCACTTTTTATTTAATCTTCAAATATCACCTTGGAAAAATGGGTTCTCTTGTCCCATAGTCCTTACATTCAGGTATCTGTTCTTATTCAAATCTTAGCTTTAATGTGTTTTTACAAACTTAAATTCTATATGTTTGACCTTGGTATTAAAATGGAATTCCTAGGTGAGGACTAGATGACTTATAAACTTTTAGCAAGTTCTAGGTTTGTTTTTCCAGATTCATTATCCACAAACTCATCAAAAAAATTTTTGAGATCAGAATCCATTAAATCTCTCTCAATCAATTAAGATAAATATAATATTGATTTTTCATCTTTTTTGTTTTATATTATAATATAATTTTCTTGGAGATAGTGATTTAAAAGAAGTAGTTTTAATTTTACGTATCTTCAATAATGTGATGGTACATTTGGGATATCAAGATGTCATTGATTGAAGATTAGCACAGGAGAGGTTTATTAGGGAGCATGCTTAGGATCAACAACTGTGAAAGAGATGAAAAGGAACCACAGTGGGTAGAGGGAGAAGTCATGCTGCTGTGCAGTCTGATGAGGTCTCCACCCACCACACTGGGAGCTCTGAGGCCAAGGTGACCATTCAGAGTTTTCCTCAGAGGACTGAGCCTTTGTTTGTCAATGAGTCTTTGGATGCCAGTGCTCCAGGAAAGAGGCGTAACCTTGGGTGAGGTCTCTCTCTTCAGCAAAAGCAGTCCTAGAAGTAGGTGAAACTGAGAGCTTCCTGCCAGCAGCA